ATATATTGTCGATATGATGGCAAAAATGATATCAGAAAGATTGAATTACATAAGTCATAATCAACAAAGACTGAGGGTTGATGAATACATTCATCTCAGAGACGCTTTAAATCAAGATGCAAATCTAGACCCATCAAATATCGGTCAACACGTAATCTTGCCATCTTCATTCACAGGTTCTCCGCGTTATTTGCATGAAAAAACCCAGGATGCTATGACTAATGTCCGAAACTACGGAAAGCCAGACTTATTTGTGACTTTTACGTGTAACCCCGAATGGCCTGAAATTAAAGGGGAACTATTATCTGGTCAGCGGTCTTTCGATCGTCATGACATAATTTCAAGGGTATTTCATTTAAAGATGAGGAAATTCATAAAATTATTCACCAAAGATGAAATATTCGGCAAAGTGAAATGTTACAAGGCAAGTGTGGAGTGGCAAAAGCGAGGTTTACCACACTGTCATTTGTTGTTTTGGCTCGAAAGAAAAATCCAGACAGACGAAATTGATAGTGTCATAGTTGCAGAACTGCCCAACCAACAATACAACCCGATATTGTACGATATCGTAACTAAAAATATGGTGCACGGACCATGCGGAGTCGTCAACGATACCCAAACCGGAGAGGACGGATATCCAGTTTACCGTAGTCGTGACGCCGAAAATGGAGGACAGAGCGCTACGCTAAATATCAGAGGAAGTAGAGTCAATATAGATAATAGATGGGTTGTCCCTTGTTCTCCACTATTGTGTAGGACGTTTAACGCTCATATAAATGTGGAGTACTGCCACTCAGTTCAAGCCATCAAATACATTTGTAAATATATCAATAAAGGTTCTGACCAAGCTACTTTTAGCGTAAGAAACCCAAACGATGAAGTGGAAAACTACGTGAATGGCCGGTATATAAGTACATCCGAAGCTGTCTGGCGGATATTAGAATTTTCGATCCATGAGCGGCATCCTACATTCGTGCAGTTAGCCGTACACTTAGAAAATGGCCAAAGGGTGTATTTTACCGCCGAAAAGGCTGAACAAGTGGCCCAATATCCACGGAAAACTACTTTGCTGGCTTTCATTGAGCTCTCTAATGAAGATGAATTCGCAAAGACACTTCTATACCACAAAGTGCTGCAATACTACACATGGGCCAATAATAAATTCACAAGATGGAGGCGTGGTGAGGACGTAGTTGGCCATCCAGGCATAAAAAAGATGCCGCTTTAGGAAGAGTCTACGGTGTACATCCTTCTCAATCAGAGTGTTTTTATCTTAGGATGTTGCTACATTACGTACGCGGTCCAACCTCATTCGAGTATTTAAAAACTGTTAACGGAGTTCTCAAAGAGACCTATCAAGCAGCTTGCCGTGACAGAGGTTTGCTAGAAAACGATGACCATTGGGAAAACACTTTGAGAGAAGCATCGCTTTCGCAATGTCCAGCACAACTGAGAGAATTGTTTGTAGTCATACTTTTATTTTGTCAGCCATCGGAACCACTGAAATTATGGCACAATTTCAAAGACGATTTATGTGAAGATCATCATCATCATCATTACAGCCCTTCACAAGTCCACTGCTGAACATAGGCCTCCCCCAAAGAATGCCACAAAGCACGGTCCTGAGCCACCTGCATCCATCGACTTCCTGCATATCTTACCAGGTCGTCACTCCATCTAGTGGGGGGACGCCCTACACTTCGCCTGCCGGTACGAGGCTGCCACTCGAGAACCTTTCTTCCCCATCGGTTGTCGGTTCTTCGAGCTATATGGCCGGCCCATTGCCACTTCAGCTTACTAATCCGTTGGGCTATGTCGGTCACTCTAGTTCTACTGCGGATATCCTCATTTCTGAGTTTATCACGCAGAGAAACTCCGAGCATAGCCCTCTCCATAGCTCGCTGAGCGACCTTGAGCTTCCTCATCCGGCCAGCAGTGAAGGACCACGTCTCAGTTCCGTATGTCATCACTGGCAACACGCACTGGGTGTACAGTCTCGTTTTCAAGTTTTGAGGTATACCTGACGAGAAGATGTGCCGTAATTTCCCGAACGCTGCCCAACCGAGTTGAATCCGTCGATTGACCTCTCGGTCGAAGTTGGACTTACCTAGTCGGACTATTTGTCCCAGGTAAACATACTCGTCAACAACTTCGAGCTTAGTGTTCCCAACAACTACCGGCATAGGTGTGACATGGACATTAAACATGATCTTTGTTTTGTCCATGTTCATCTTAAGACCTATCCGTTGGGAAACACTATTGAGGTCATTGAGCATAGTGCTTAGGTCCTCCAGCGATTCTGCCATAAGGACTATATCGTCGGCAAATCGAAGGTGAGTGATGTACTCGCCATTGATGTTGATACCGTATCCTTTCCAGTCCAGAAGCTTGAAAACATCTTCCAATGCAGCGGTAAAGAGTTTCGGGGATATGACGTCACCCTGTCTTACACCTCTCTGCAATTGGATAGGTTTCGTACTCTGGTTCTGTACTCGGATAGCCATCGTAGCCCTACTGTACAAGCACTTCAACACTTCGATATACCGACAGTCAACTTGGCATCGCTGAAGGGACTGCAGCACCGCCCAAATTTCGACGGAATCAAAGGCTTTCTCATAGTCCACATACGCCAGACATAGTGGCAAATTGTACTCCTCGGACTTCTGTACAATTTGCCGAAGGGTATGTATGTGGTCTATGGTGCTAAAGCCTTTTCGGAAACCGGCTTGTTCGGGAGGCTGGAAGTCGTCAAGTCTGCGCGCGAGACGATTCGTAATGACTCTCGAAAACAGCACGTAGACGCGGCTCAGAAGGGAAATCGGTCTGTAGTTCTTCAAGAGAGCGTTGTCGCCTTTCTTGAAGAACAAGACCACCACACTTCTGCTCCACGCCTCCGGTGTAATGCCAACATGGAGGACGGAATTAAAGAGCTTCTGAAGGACTTCAAGTACCGGTTTTCCACCCGCTTTCAGAAGCTCCGCTGTAATTCCATCCTCGCCTGGGGCCTTGCCGTTTTTAAGGTGCTGGAGAGCCATTCTAATCTCGCTCAGACTGACGTCCGGGATATCATCGGAATAATGTCGGATAAGACTCGCTCTTGGATCGTTACTCACACTTGCGTGCGGCTCCAACGATGACGTGTACAGCTGCCCATAGAACCTCTCAATCTCACTCAAAATCTCAGGTGCCCCGGAAACGATGCTGCCACACTCTGTCTTCAGCTTTGACAGTTGGCGCTTTCTGGCAGACAGATCTCTGGCAAAGACTTTGGAGCCTTGGTTCCGCTCGATCGCTTCTTCAATACGAGCTGTATTGAATTTGCGTAAGTCCCGCCGCATGCATTTGGAGATCTGTCTGTTCAGTTGCCTGTATGCTGTTAAATCTGTTGAAGAATGTAGCTTCATCTCCCGTCTAACAGCCATGAGATTAAGAGTGTGATCGGAGAGTTTTTGTGTTCTTCTGCGGCGGGTCTTGCAGAACTTAGCTCCGACCGCATGGACAGTTTCCACGAGCTTGTCATTCAAATCGTCCACTTCATTGCAGTCTTCTAGGCACTGAAAACGGTTTTGTAACTCGAGCTGAAAGGTTTCGGGACTTTGGATTAGAGCACGAGGGGGACGGAGCGTTGACTTCATTAGACGAGACCTCTCCAACTTAACGTTTAGGTTCAGTGTGCCTCTAACCATTCGGTGATCGCTGCCGGTTTTCACCCTCGCGATCACTGAGACATCACTGAACAGTTGTCGTCTGGTCGTCATAATGAAGTCAATCTCATTTTTTGTCGAACTGTCGGGGCTCGACCAGGTCCACTTCCTGTGGGGCCGCTTCTGGAAGAAAGAGTTCATCATAAAGAGTCCCTCTTTCTCCATGAAGTCAGCCAACTGCTGGCCCCTTGGGTTCCGTTGCCCTATTCCAAATTTCCCTACTTTCAGCTCACCGTTCTCTCTTGTGCCAAGTTTTGCATTGAAGTCTCCCATTAACACCGTATATTGGGTTTTTGAGGAATGCATGGCTCTAGAGATATCCTCATACATTTCCTCCACCTCCTGATCGGGGTGTGCCGAGGTTGGTGCGTAAACTTGTATGACCTTCAGCGAATACCGTTTGGTGATTCTGAGTATAAGGTACGCAACCCTCGTCGACACACTCTCAATCTTTACAACGTTGTTAACGAGAGACTTGTGGACGATAAATCCGACACCTCCTTGGGACAGATGGTCGCCCTCCCGGTAATAGAGCAAGTTGCCGGATTCGAGGATTACCGTGTCCTCCCCCTCTCTTCGGACTTCGGATAATCCTATAATATGCCAGCGTAACTTGTCTATCTCTTCTTCCAGCTCCACAATCTTCTCGTCAGTCCTCAGGGTGCGTGCGTTGTATGTTGCCAGGTCGAGTCGTCGTAGGTGGCAACCGAACCTCCACCGGAGATTCTTAGACACAAAATAAGACACCAAAATCAAGACTTCGCCTTACCATACAGTGAGGACATTTATAACGAAGGTTTGATAGAAATAGAAAATAAACTGTTGCAATTAAATGATAAAAGCCTAAGTCATTTTGGATTACCTTCTTCAGTTCGTACAGAAAACAATGCTACAGATACAACGGCACATCTTTATAACACAAATGATTTGACCACTTTTGTCAATGAAAACCTGCCAAAATTAGTCCCAGATCAAAGACATGCTTTTGAGACTATAGTTGATAGCGTGAATAATAACAAAGGAAAAATTTTTTTTGGATGCGCCAGGTGGCACTGGAAAGACGTTTCTTGCAAATTCGATACTTGCTAAGATACGACAGTCGGGGACGATAGCGATAGCAGTTGCTTCGTCAGGAATTGCTGCAACTCTCTTAAAGGATGGAAAAACTGCTCACTCTACTTTTAAGCTTCCACTATCCGTCACTCTTGAGCAACAATGTACATATTCTATCCGCAAAAATGGGCCTCTTGGTAAATAACTACAAGAGCCTCATTGATTATGTGGGATGAATGCACCATGAGCCATAGAGCACATATAGAGGCTGTAGACAGAACCTTAAAAGATCTTAGAAACTCTTCTGCTCTCATGAGTGGGATTACTTTTGTACTTGCTGGAGATTTCCGACAGACACTTCCCGTCATTAACAGAGGTACGCGAGCAGATATCATCAAAGCATGCTTGAAATCGTCTCCCTTATGGACTTCGATTGAAAATTTAAAATTACGGACGAATATGAGAGCTCATCTTCATGGAATCACAGATAGTGATTTCCCACAACAACTGCTAAAACTTGGGGAAGGAATTTTTCCCACTCCAAATTTAAGCAGAAATTGTGACGTCCTTCTGGATGAGTCTCTAGGCCAAATAGTGCATAATTTAGAAATTTTAATAGATACAGTATACCCTGACATCGAGAATTTGAACGACAAGGACTTTAATTGGTTGTGTTCTAGAGCAATAGTGTCGCCTAGGAATGATACTGTCAACGAAATAAACAATCTAATTATACAAAAAGTCCCCGGCCAAATAAAAAATTACAAATCGATCGACACCGTGACTAATATCGAAGACGCAGTACATTACCCACAGGAATTCTTAAATTCACTTAACCCTTCTGGACTACCACCACACGAATTGACGTTAAAAATCGGAATGCCAATCATGCTTCTGAGAAATTTAAGCCCCCCAAGCATGTGCAATAGAACGAGGCTGCTTATTAAGGAATTGAAGGACAATTTAATTGTAGCGACCATTATCACCGGCCCATCAGTTGGTCAACTAGCTCATATACTGAGGATACCGATGATCCCAACTGATCTGCCAATCCCATTTAAACGCCTTCAATTTCCGGTAAAAACATCTTTCGCGTGAACTATTAACAAGTCCCAAGGCCAAACCTTCGAATTAGTAGATCGACTTACGAAAAGAGTGTTTTACTCATGGCCAATTGTATGTAGGCCTATCGCGGGTCGGAGCTCCTAAAATCAATTTATTTTACTGCCACTAAATAAAACAACATCAAATATCGTTTATAGGGAAGCTCTGACCCAATAAATTTAATGACTTATGTTTTGTTGATATTATATTTTTACAAATATTAGAAATAAAAATAAAATAATTCGAATTCGAATTTTAAAATATTAAAAAAAGAACAAAAAAATTAAAAAGATACGTAAAAAATAATAAAAAAATCATTATTTACACTTATATATAATATTATAAAGAGGAAAGTTGTTTTTGTTAGTTTGTTAGTACCATATAAGCTCCGAAACTACTGGACCGATTTTAATCAATTTTTACCAATAGAAAGTTAAATTATTGGTGGGGGGGGAGTGGATAAAATGTAACTTTTCTGTTTAACGTGTATATATGCCGATAGATAAAAGTACTCCATTAATTTTGCTAATTTTTTAGTTATGAGCGAGGTGTCATGGCAGAGACGCGTGATATACGCGGGTGAAACCGCGGGGCACAGCTAGTTACGTAATAATTTATTAGCTAATATTAAGGAGCCACCGCATAATTTTTTTTTCTCTGTTAAAGCAGCTGACCACCTGGTGTTTACTGAAATAAAACATATTACAGTCATTATTTTAGCCAATTTTCAGTTATACAAAAAATATGTATGTTGTTACGAGTACTATTTAAAAATAATTCAATTTCTAATTCTTTGGCCAACATGGATGCACAGTGACTTATATATTACTAGAGTAAGAACCGCGCAACTATATGTTTACCAAATTTACCAAGGTCATGCCAGGGTTGGATTCAGACCATCAAAAATTGAATATTTAAAATAAAATTATACTTACTATTTGTCCAAAATTATACCACGTTTGACGTTTCATGTTTTTTCCCATGCGCTGGGGTTTTGGCGTCACGCGTCTGGTGTATATATACATTTCGTTATTCGGCGTTTTTGTTTTGAATTGAAATAAAATTGTATTGCAATGATATGCAGCATACAAAAATATTGCTATGAACATGTAATCGTCTCTGTCAGTACGACCGGAATAGTAAAACATCACATGCGGCATCCCCGCCTACACTGTCCTTGCCTGTTTTGATGTTTCCGTACATACACGTGGTAGAGCCATGCTGCAGCTATATTAATTGTATAGCTGTAGCACTAATGAATCGGCTCGATCGGGTAAGGACCACGCTCTCACAGAATACCAGCGTAAAAAAGCAATTTAACACTGCTGTGTTCCGTATGGTGAGTGTAGAGAACCGGAGACCCTTTTTACTAGAAAAGAGGCATTTCACCTTAGTCCTCACGGGTGACAACGCATCTGCATTTTGATTCGCAAACGAGGATAGATGTAAATATCTATGGGCCACAGCAGCCACTTACCATCAGGTGGACTGTGTCCTCGTTTGTCACCCTATCCTATAAAAAAATACAAAAATTCTCGATATTGTACGATAAATATTAAAAAGTAAAAGGACCCACCAATCATACACGTCAGTCGACCTGAAGATACAATTATAGTATTTTCGCGTAGTATAGTGGCATAGTATTGTATAAATTTTAAGAACCAGGGTAAGAGCGAAGTCAATGTATTTTTATTTATTTATTTATTTTATTTATTATGATACTACATACTACACACTATGAAATAATGGAAAAAATACTATAATTATTATACTACGAAATCCAACCCTTGTTAAGTCGTCGACCTATGCAACTGAAAAAGGCAAAGTTCGTATGTGTTATGACAGATGATGCTACTTTTACTTGTTTAAAGAAGGTATAAGTAAAATGTTTAAATGGGCGTATCCTTCCTTCCTTATGAAATCATTGGCCTTAGCTCTACGTTCTCAATTAATAGAAGGGGTTGCTTAGCTGTGAGCAATTTCACTTCTTCTGGGAGGAGTACTTAGTTTCCCAGATGAGTATTACGTTTACGCATTAAGGGTCCGCTATCAGTTAGGATGGGTGGAGACGTTTCTTCCTTTAAGAAACAAAACGGGCACATCCTTCAGTTGCTTAGTCCCAGGATGGACAATGTGCTTTTTATGACAACAGTGTCCAGTCAGGGCTCTTGCAAGAATGCGCAATTTATTTTTACTTGATCCCAGGGCTTCTGAAGCGATCAAAAGCCCGGATTCAGGTTATTAAATATTTTAAGCCTGGTGTATCAGACCAGATCTTAAGTGATTTATTGTAATAAAGAATTCCAAGAGTCAATCAGACGCAGCTTTTTGAAATTCCAGAAAATGGCTCGCGTCCAAATTGTGTACACTTTGACCCCTCTCGTCCGAGACTGTCGGAATACCCGCGTGACCCGAAACCCATCTTAAAACGACCCTGTAATTACTTTCCAGGGCGTTTAGACGGTTCACGCAGTCTCCAACTAACTTCGAGTTCACTAAGTTTGATCTCAGCGCTATCAGTGCTGCTTGACTATCAGAGTTAATATAGATTATATGGTTGACGTAGTGTTTTTGCAGATTGATTTCCGTACACTGAAGTATGGCGAAAATATCTGCCTGGAATATCTGCCATAGAGGTGAATCTACCCAAATTCATACTATGTTTCAATTTGGGGCGTTCCCCATAAATTCCAAACCCTACGTCGGGGCTCATTTTGTACCCATCGGTATACCATGTAAGGCTACCGACCTCACAGATGTAATATTTCAGTAATATTTCAAGTTTATCTCTATAAACGATTGCTCTTTCTCGTAGTCGAAATCGGTTAGCAGAGTCATGTTTAAGGCCAAAAATGTAGATACAAACCTAATACAGATACGACAATGACAAAATCAAATAATATGTTTTATTTGATTTGCGATTTGCTGACTTCCATGTAAATCCTTAAATGTAATTTGTAACGCTTAGTCCATTTACTCACGACGTTGATTCTGGCCACTGACTTCAGAAATACTCGTAATGTGTGTGTGTGTGTGTGTCGGTGTGTGCGCGTGCGCGTGCGCGTGCGTGTGACACACACACACACACACACATTCTTGCACACAATCACGCAAATATTATTAATTATACCTTACTGCAAGTTATAAATTGTGTAGCTTTTTTATTTAAGTCTAATTTAATGTAGTAATATAATTGTAATACGGAAGAGCGGGTCCCTCTACTACAGGTATCTATTTACTTAAAAGAGAGTACCCAACAATATTGTAACGACTTACTACTTATTTTAAAATTGTTATTAAATAAATGCTTTATTTTACATTGTGCAGATGTATTTTGACAGATATTTATTATTTTGTTTATTCTATTATATAACATTTTAACTTGAGCTGCATATTGACGCCTTGCAAAAGCAGAATTTACTTTTTTAGTAATTACGACTATATCCTTTCTTCTTTCATTTTGAGTGTTATGATCATATCTACATATACGTGTTGTTACCTCTGAGGTCTAAGATGGAATGGCTCACAGCCTATTATTATACTGGCTCTCTATACCCTTCAGACCGGAAGCACTGCTATCTGGCAACTGAAATAGGAAAAGGTGTAGAGGCCCAGATGGACTCCTAGGCTGAAAAGTAGACTGAACCACCAGTAACAGCTTAGAGTCAAGTGGATACCCCTGCGTTTGCTCTCACACTTGTGGTACTAAAATGCCAAGTTAATCATGGGAGCGACTACAGAGAAAATATTCTTGTCTTTTTTATTAAATTTTTAATGTGTGAGCACACACAAAAGTGTCGATTCCGTGGATGTCGTTAGAGAAGACAGAAAGACTGTTATGAAAATATATCTTTAAAGACTATCCCAAATAGAAAATTACGTATCGAATATCAATAAAGTGTTATTAATCAATAAACTAACATCTGTTTAACTTTTGCATCGAGAACGTAGACAATATAAAAGTAATGGCCGTGAAGGTAGTCTGTAATTAAAATTTCAATGTCGAGTACGCGAGATAAAGTTACAAAGATTTTTTACCTCTATGAGTTCTTGCTGTTTTTTTTTTGTAAATTTCAGTTTTGTTCACTACTGCCTATCGTTTGTAAAGTAAGCCTAGTAGGTAATGCGGCATGATACGCTTCACGTGCTCTAATGCCTGATGTTTTATGATATTGATTGACGTAAATGACATACAAACTACGTGCTGCCGGTTAGTTGATAATTAATTTCATTTTCGATGTTTAAATATTGTCCTGGATTGTGGATTACGAAAAGAAAAACATGCATGGACAAATAAAAGCCGGCCAAGTGCGAGTCAGACTCGCGCATAAAGGGTTCCGTACCATCGTAAAACACGTTTCTAGTAGGGGAGCCCTCTTTAGTTTTTAATTTATTTTTATTTTTATATAAAATACACATTCTGTAAAAATTTCAATTGTCTACCTATTACGGATCATGAGATACAGCCCTCTGACAGACGGACGGACAGCAGAGGCTTAGTAAAAGGATCCCGTTGGTTACCCTTTGAGTACGGAACCCTAAAAAAGAGAAATATTTCTTTAAAAGAAATAGAAGTATAATATAGTTTTTTATTTTGCTTTTTGCTTGGCAGCAAAAGAACAAGAAATAATAATTCCACAATAGTTCCGCGGCCTCTGCACCGTTACGCAGGCCGCTCTAAAATGCGATAAAATAATTGATTGCATTGAATGAGAGTTCATCGTGCAGCATAATCATTCACTTTAGGAATGCCATGCTGCATATATGCTAAACATACCGTATCGGGCCGTTTAATGGATGGACAGATGGGTCAAACACAAGAGCCATTTTTTAAAGAATACTATCAGAGTTTTTAACACTACCAGTACAGTGAATTATATGTTTTATTGTTATAAGTTACTAGGGAGTATTATTAACCACGTTAACTAAACTTTAATCGCTTGTTCTAGGATTGGTTTTTGAATAATTCGAATAGCGGATTTGAACCTATGACGTATGAGTTTGCCGTCCGTATCCGTAACCACTCGTCTACTGTCGCTTTTAAGTTTCCTTATAGCTGAGACCTGAGATTGTTAGCATTAGTATTTACAGAAATATGTACTCATACGATTAGTTGTAGAATTTTTCAAATTATTAGCGTTCATAGCGAACATGTTTGATATTTTACTGAGTATTTG